GAAATAACTGATTCCAGTAGGACATTTTAATTTGACTGCTATTTTCTAATGCTCTTAGAAGGATTAGTGTGGTCATTGCACAGATTCCAATTATAATCTCTGATATGCTTGATGATATGAGACAAGCAGCTAAATCTGCATTAAATCCTTCAGCTTTAACATAAAAACGCTCATCTGCAGCCTCACAGGTGCAGACGAAATATCTGAGCATCCTCTCTGCGTAGGAAGTGACCTCCTTCATGGTGGGCGTCGTGCATAGACCAGGAAGTCGCTCCTCTGACCTCACATAGGCTCCAGAGCAGCAGGATTTATAAAAACTTCAGCGAGAGCTTCAGAATGAAGAAAATGAAGATGATGGAAAGCAGAATCCTCCGCTTCGTATGACCAGTTCTCTAGATTAGCTAATAAAAGAGGAAATTTCAAAGCTGGCCACCATCAGCATACACTGATTTCTCTGTCAAATGAGAAAACAGTGACAGAAAGTGAAAAAAATGTAGTTTGGTTTTATGCATCTAAGAAAAAAAATATTCCCAAGTACATCTTGAAACAGTTTTTTTTATTTGCAGCACAAATAAACTCTTCATCAGGTGCATTAAACATAAAATATTTGCACTCAAACCCAAAACTGTGCAGAGACGTTTCTGCTTTGCTTAAAAACTGTTTGTTTTCATGTTTGTACAAAACACAGAAAACCATCTGTTTAGTGTTTTACTGTGTTTTTTTTTTTTTTGCTAAAAGCTTGACATTTCTGCACAGCCTGCAGGTATCATTTCCATATCAATTAGCATGCATTGTGTGCATGCTAATGTCTGACCTTTAGCTGGATCCCTGTAACTACAGCATGTGGTTCTGACACCTTTTTCCATTCTCACTTTCAAAGTAAGCTTTCGAGCATTTCCTAAATAATAATAATAATAATAATAATACATTTTTATTTCAACAGCGCCTTTCTAAACACTCAAGGACACTTTACAGACAGAGATAAAATACACACCAATAAAAGATAAAACAGCATAAAACAAACAGACAGATTGGAGCAAAGAGAGTAATTATTGGAAAGCTAGACGGAACAGGTGGGTTTTGAGTCTGGTTTTAAAGAGAGTGAGGGAGTCAATGTTACGGAGGTCAGGTGGGAGTGAGTTCCAGAGCTGGGGAGCAGAGCGACTGAAGGCCCTGCTCCCCATAGTGACCAGACGGAAAGGTGGGACAGAGAGGTGGATGGAGGAGGAGGACCTGAGGGAACGGGTGGAGGTTGAAGAATGAAGGAGGTCTGAGAGGTACGGTGGAGCTAGGTTATGGATGGCTTTGAATGTATATAGCAGACTTTTGAATTGGATTCTGGAAGTGACTGGGAGCCAGTGGAGCTGCTGAAGAACAGGGGTGATGTGGAAGGAGGGAGTTCTGGAAATGATGCGGGCTGCCGAGTTCTGGAGGAGTTGGAGTTTATGGAGGGATTTGTGAGGAAGACCGAAGAGAAGAGAGTGCAGTAGTCAATACGGGAAGTGATGAGGCTGTGGACAAGGATGGCGACCGAGTGAGTAGTGAGGGAGGGGCGTAGGCGGTTAATGTTACGTAGATGGAAGTAGGCAGACCGGGTAATATTGTTTATGTGGGACTGGAAGGATAGTGAGGAGTCGAGGATGACACCCAGACTCTTGACCTGAGGGGAGGGGGAAACTATGGAGTTGTCGACAGGAAGTGTAAAGCTGTGGATTTTGGATAGTAAAGATTTAGTGCCGACAAGTAACATTTCTGTTTTATCACTGTTAAGTTTGAGAAAGTTTGATGTGAACCAGTCTTTGATTTCAGATAAACAATTGGTGAGAGAGGAAGGAGGAAGGGTTAGAGGAGGGTTTGGAGGATACATAGAGCTGGGTGTCATCCGCGTAACAATGGAAATGGATGTCAAATTTACAAAAAATATTTCCCAGGGGAAGGTAAGTGATGAAAAGGAGTGGACCGAGAACAGAGCCTTGGGGGACACCAGTAGTGACAGGGAAGGGACAGGAAGTGAAGGATTTGAGTTGAATAAACTGAGTACGGCCATCAAATGTAATCATCATGATGATTTGAATGAACAGAACATAAAAGTGGACATTCTCAATCCAGTTTCTGTTAAATTAAAGCTCTTTATTAACAAAAATATTTCAAAACCTTGAATATACCTTGTGAGATTTTATTTATGAAGAAAATTAATAAAATGCATGAATTTACTGTACCACAATGCCTTCAACTACATTAAAAACTGTATTAGGGTTTATTTTGCTTACTAATAAATAACAATTATTAAAGCTACAGCTTGATGTGTGGCAATACTGTCTCATATTTTGTTGGCTTTAAAGGGGACGTGACTTTTTTCTTGCGTTATAATATTTATATTATTGATATAAAACAAATTCATCAAGTTCTTTGCACTAAATCCCACAATAAATAAATAAAGAGATTTCAATAGTTTTAATATTGACATTTTCAGTACCTTCCAGAATGAGCTGTTTCAGGGCTCTGTCACTGAAGCCCATTTTACAAAACACACTATGCCGGCAAATCATGCACCATGGGGGTGCACGAAATTTGCGGCACTTATTCTGCTTCGCCTGGTAATAATATTGCAGTAATCGTCTGTCTGACCACGTAGAAACAACCTAAGGCTACCTGATGCCGCTTCATCTTTCAAATTGACAGCATTGCTTTGTGGGAATGGCCTAAAGCAAAACAAGCTACAGCTGGCCACACCCACCCATCCCCTGACTGTCTATGAGGTAAGGAGCTCCAGTACACAGGAGTGGCTCAGAGCTGCTATTCCTCCATCAGCAGATAACCCTCCTCCACTTGAGAGGTGTGTTTTATACTAATTTTCCCATTTGTGACATCACAAACTGGGTCGTTTTGAAGCTGCTTGTTTTAAGAAAATACTGTAATTCCTAAAACCAAAGCCTGACAGAAAATGGATGGACAGATGCTTCTTTCGTGTTTGGAGTATTTACAGAGATTAGAGACCCACATGGCAGCACAGAAGGATAAAAAAGGTAAGTTTTGCGCAACATGTCCCCTTTAAAATGTAATGAAACCCAACAAGGTGCAAAACTATCAGAAAGTTAGTTTGTCCGGTTGATTTAAAACGAAACTGTGCTCCACTTCAGAAAGATGCATAAATAAAGTTATGATCGAGCAAAGAAAAGGTAATTTTAAACACATTTTAGGTTAAAATTTTAGCTTTTTTAGCTACATCTAGTACTAAAATGATGTAATGCACTTTCAGCAATAAAAAGAAAAAGTACAAAAGCTTTGTTTTTCATATGACATATAAACATAACTCATTTCATCTGGGTCAAAGCTACAAGGAGCCACTTGTGAAGGGCTGAAGAGCCTCTTGTGCCTCCAGAGCTGCCGGATGCAGATCTGTTTTAGTTCCATCTAAACAGAAGTATGATGTTTTTGTAAATGTAGATTGTGAGAGCTAAAATATTTATTCTCTGTCTCATAGAAGCTCTGATGTTTCTGCTGATGAGCTTTACAGCAGCTTAGAGGCTGGATTTGTCCCCGAGTCAAACATCTATTGATCGCACCGCTGTCCTGTTTCCTCCATCAGTCTCAAAACGTCTAATTTACACTTTGAATGACAGCGAGGCTCCCTTTTATTGAGCAGTGAGTAATGGTGCTGTGACCTCTGTGGAGCACTACTCTGCTATTTTCTCATTACATGCTGGGCTTTGATGGGGATATATTGGCAGGAGAACGTATAGAAGGGATAATACCGCAGCTGGTTGTGGGGACTCGAGGATAAAAGACTTCTTATGTCTCAGGAGTGAATAAATCACAGTGAACAAATGTAAAACGGTTAAAAGGGCAGGAGAGCCACCACATTTACCTTTAGAGTGAATATGGACAGCTTTGGGTGTCCATTATACCAACAACCTCCGCCATCTCAGACCTGTTTCCAATGTAAATGAGTAGTTACAACGCTGATAGAGAGAAACGATTCATTCTGAGAAAAGCTGCTTAAAGAGCGGGTCAATTGAGCCTCGGAGTCCTTCTCCACCCACGTATCAATTTTAAAAAATGCAACATTAGTAGGCGTTGCCTGGAGGACCGAGAGGGCGGAGCCACGGCAGTGACGAAGACGATGGCTAACTAGACGAAGCTAGCTCCCTTCACTCTGAGCAGTTGATAGAAGTGGAGGATGTTTCTCCCCCTCCTTACACAGACACTCGAGAAGAAAGGGACCAAGTCTATTTGGAGGAGACAAGCGGACCTGAGTCTTATTGTTTTGAGCTTGTGAGTTGCCTGAAACTCCCAGAACCGACCCAACAGAATCACCTCTGAAAGGTAAGTAGCCGTTAGCCATAGCATTGGATTAGCTGCAGGGTTTGTCTCCACGGCCCTAAAAAGCTAGTATTCAGCATGTTTTAGAGGTTTATCTGCTTCAGCACACCTGGTTTTAATCAGCAACAAATAGCTGAGCTGCTTAACAGCTAATCTAACCTGTTAAAGCAGGAAAATCCACTGAAACATGCTGGATAGCTCTCCGGTAGCCCTGGGCTCAAGTTACAGTCTGCTGCATATAAAGTTATGAAAATACCCCATGAGAAAATCATTCTGTAATGTGTTCAGCCCACTAAAACTGCCCTGATTTCTTTATTTATTTACTAATAACAGCTGCTCTCTCGGTTCTAGGTCCTCTGGTGTCTGCAGCTGGTCTCTGCTGGTGTCGTCAGGATCAGGAACTTCCAGAAGAATGTGCCTTTCGATGACTCTTTCCCCCTTATTTGTTATATTAATTAAATAAATCTCAATATATATATTTCCTGTTTTTGTTCATGTCCATAAATACTTAAACATGCTTGAAATTAGAACGAGCTTTTAACAGTGAGGTGCTAGTTTAATTAATCACAATAGAGCTAGTTAAACATGCAACAAAAATGTGATATTCAATGTAATTTATAAATATCCATTAAAATATCAAAACTGGAATCTAAATGAGATATTTGGCAGCACAAAAAACTTGTCAAACACAATATTTATTATAATAATTGTAGGCAGACAGGAGACAGAGCTGATGGAGGTTCTCAGTCATCGAAGGATGGCTGAAGGCTTTCCAGGAACAGGAGATGTGGTGTTGTCTCTTCTCTCTCTATTCTGCCAGATGAGCTGGTAGGTTACAGGTGTGTGAGGACATCCTCATGCTGTCATAACCAGATGACAGGAGTTATCAGGTGATCAGCCAGGCTAATGAGATGCAGAAAGAAAACAAATTCAGGACAGTGTACAATATGTGGTGTTGCTCACCTTATGTGCTCTTATAGAATATTAATGTGTGCCTGCCTCATGGTGTAGAGTCCATATTTTGCTGAGTGTCCTGCAATAATGCAGGTTATTAGTTAATTTACTTTTGATAGCAAAAACAAAATATTTATGTAAAAGGTGAATCAGCTCACACGTCACCACCAAGTGTCACAGGGGCAGAATCAGTAGCCTCCGTCATGATGTCATGATGTAATCACATACTTATTTAATTGTTAATATCTTAAAAATTCTGAAATGTTTTAATTTTTTTTTTTACCTTGAACAGTTCACTGAGCTTGCACTGTCACTGAGGTGGAAGCTGGAATCAACAGCAGACACCTCACACCTTGGTCTTTTCAGGGGGTCTGGATGCTCTGGGACCTTCTGGAAGATGAATTTTCATCATGGTCCCCGTGGGTCACCAGACACACTGCGGCTGTGAACTCCATTCTGGCTGGCTATGTAAAAACAAAGAAGCAGCACATTTATAAATGTTTAAAAGAGCATAAAATCACGTGTAACAATAATCTGTAAAACAAATTAAAACTAGAAGGTAATAATAAAATGTTTACATAGAATATTATTAAAAATAATTCACCTTTGCTACAGGTAAGGCTTCACGTCTGCCTGGACAAGTGCATCCTTGCAGCTAAATCAGTCTGACAGCCAGTGTCTTGGGTAGATTTAGCCTGAAAAAAAAATAGAAGCACATTGTTGTTGGGAGTTTATAAAGTCAGATAATATACAAAAGAATCTCCTATATAGGCGCTTTATAACATTCCTAGTGTGTGATCGTTGTTATAACGTAAAAGTCAGTCACATATGATGTGGAGAGCCTGAAATGCGACCTCCTGAACAGAATTCCTCACAGAACCGGGTCACAAGCTGGATTTCACGCTGTAATGTTGCCAACTAGTGCAGCGTTAGTTAGAGACACTGTTGCAGAATTACCGACTGACTAGCTAAAGGAAGTGAACCACGTCTCTCAGACTTTGCATTTAGGTAGGGAATTGTCTTTAGAAGATGTTAAAACGTTTATTTAGCTTACTCACCTCAGACTGGAGCCCGCCGTGGTGGGGGAGCAGAGTCGGTGGGCTGCATCTAAATCGCGGAAGAGCCACGGTGGGCAGCCTCCCTCTTCAAACGGAGGCGTGCAGAATCGCGGGTAAAATGCCCAGAGTCACCACAAGCATACTACACTACACCTACTCACCAATACTAAGACGATATGGAACACTAAACCCGAAATACTTTCCCAATTACACTAACAGCCAAACACTAACTAAACTACAATATACAACAGCCAAGCTAACACTAAATAAGTATTTATAACACTAAAAGCTATGCTAAAGACTAGGATATGCTAATGCTATATGCTAATGCTGAACTACCGCTGACCTCCTACACTCGCTTGCAAATCCAACTCCCACTCGCCACAGGGCGTGGCCGAGACGCTCGTTGCTTTTATAACTTTGGCACGGAGCTGCTACGTAGTACTCTACTGGTTTACGTAGTACTTTACTCTTTAGCCATTGGCTAAAATTTATTCAAAATGACTCAAATTCTATGTTTTCAGCTGAAGGTGGCGCATTACTGTGGTTTTTAGACAGAATTTTTAATTTTTAAAGAAAATGCACCAAAATGCTAAAATAAAGAATGCACACATTTAAAACACTATTAGACACTCATTTATACAGTTCATCAGCAAAAAAAAGTTAATTTAGACGTTACTTGCTCTTTAAGATCACCTTTAAACGTTGGCCACGGTAATGCTAACACACACACACACACACACACACACACACACACACACACACACACACACACACACACACACACACACACACAGTGAAGATTGTTGCCCCTTGAGGAACGGTGAGCTGCAGACAAGGCCAAGCTCAGGAACTGTTTGGGGTTAACTCCCCAATCCAACTCCTTAAAGCTGAGTGTCAAGCAGGGAGACATTGGGTCCCATTTTTAAAATCTTTGGTATGACTCCTCTGGGATTTGAACTCTGATCTCCCAGGACCAAGCTACCGCCTTCGCTATGTCTGAGCTCAAGCTAACACTAGCCTTAACTACTGCTGCCCCAGTTCGAGCTACCGCCTTCGCTAAGTTTGCGCTAAAGCTAACACTATCCTTAAACTACTGCCGACCCCAGTCCGAGCTACCGCCTTCAACAAGTCTGAGCTAAAGCTTATACTAGCCTTGACTGATGCCAACGCTAGGCTGAGCTACTACTAATGGTAGCCTGGGCTACTATAAATGTTGCTGGACAAAAATAAAGAATGTTGGAGCACCACTCACGTTCCACGATGTACTGGGAATGTCTAGACCAGGGGTCAGCAACCCGCGGCTCCGGAGCCGCATGCGGCTCTTTCATCCATCTGATGCGGCTCTCTGCTTGTAAACTAATTAATGAATATTTAATTACAATGTATTTTATTCATGTTTTCATCTGTAGCCAATTCTAAATTTAAAGATTGTCTGCGTAAACGTGAACAGGTCACCTGCTTGTGCGGATTCAAATGTCTATAGGAGCTTTCTGAGCTGGATATGAGATTCTGGACTGTTCCTCAGACAGGCTCAGGGATGCGTCGCAGTGTTGGAGACAGGAACAGGCACTATTCAGCTGAAGATTCATAATTAGGGAACATTTCTTAAGTGACAAGTCTCTGAGAGACCGGGTTTAGAACACACAGAATCTTCCTGCATGGTTCTGGTTCTGCGACGCGCTCCAAGCCCCCGATCTATCTTCAGCTCGCTGTCCACCTTACGCCCACGCCGACAGCGAGCTGCGCTGAGCTCAGTGTCCACCTCAGATGTTCTGATGGGAATCTTTTCCTGACTGATGTAGCTACCTCCACCATGTGCGTTGAAATGTCAGCACATCTGCAGGCTTGAGATGTCTCCGTCAAAATAAATACGGAAAACATCGGGTCGTGCGAACCCCGTCATTTAACCGTTTTACCTTCTAGTGAAGATTGTTGCAGACAGAAACATTAAACCTGATGAACACCAGAGCCACCACACTGCGCCGTTACCTCCGCCAGTGTAAACGAGGAAAAACAACTAATTACCTTTTCAACAATGTTTAATGCAAAGTTTAGTTCAGTACAAAGTTGAATTACAACCGTCCAACGAGACAGAGCCTGGACTTGTATTCTGAACAGTTATGTGTGACTCCTGAAAAAGCGTCACCTGCTCAACCATTAAAACCACCAGCAGGGTGAAAAAAATGGAAATATTGTAGCACAGACGGGCTACAACTTTTGGGTCAGTTTTATACAAACTGTTTTATTAATTATCTTCTGTTGAAAGATAACTTTGAGGTACATGAGCGACTGGTATTGGCTGCTGTCACCTGTTGTGATTGGTTAAAGCAGCTCTCTGCTGTCTGAGGGTAGGCCCCGCCCACAATGCTGCGGCTGCTGCGGCTCCCAGTGCTCTCTTTACTGTGGGAAACGGGTAATAATGGCTCTTTGATGGGGACAGGTTGCCGACCCCTGGTCTAGACTGAATGAATGCCAGATAGATCCATAGTTTGAGGTCTCTTCGTCCCCCGCTCATCCACACGGCATCACACCAAACATTTACAAACAAGGTTATGTGCATAATTTCAGCACACTGTCACTTTTCAACTCTTCCTAAACATTCTCACACAACTTCATGCATGAAAGGGTGGCTTAACACACAGAATAAGGGATCTGAACACAAGGACATGACAAAGCTCCATTCTGAAACCCCCGTCTGTCATCTAACTGCTATGAAACAAAGCTTGAGAAGGATGGAAAGTATTTGTTTCTTTGAAAAAGGTCCAGAAAAAACAGAAAATTTTAACAGAAGTGTGTTTAAAATATTAAAATGTCAAATCCTTATTTGTCTAAAACAAAAGCATGAAGTTGGAAGTGAAACGAACTATAAGACTGATGAGTGACAGTGAGACAGCGCTGGTGGTGACAGGTTGGAGCAGAATAAAACCGACCGAGGCGACCGTAGAAGACTGACAGCCTGGCTGTGGGAGCTGCTTGCCTTCTGACAGCCAGGACACACCGAGAAGCCAGTAAGCACCACGCGACTGGTCCGACGCTCAAGAGACTCTCAGACTCCAAATGTCACCTGATGTCAATGACACATCTCTGGGTGCATTTGGGCCAGAACGCAGCACGACTTCCAAGGGTAGCAAACGGCCCTGACCTTTCTTCACTCAGCTGAACTATTTGACATTTTTACTGGGCGGCGGTGGCACAGGAGCTAAGCGCTCGCTCCGTAATCAGAAGGTTGCAGGTTCGAGCCCCGCTCAGTCTGTCGCTGTTGTTGTGTCCTTGGGCAAGACACTTAACCCGCCTTGCCTGCTGGTGGTGGTCGGAGGGACCGGTGGCGCCTGTGCTCGGCAGCGTCGCCAAATACAGGCCATTTACCATTTAAAACTTCGTTTAGTTCCGTCTCCTGCAGTTTTTTCATTCTGCACTAAAACTGGAGATAGAAGAAGTTGCAGTGACAGTTTTCATAAAGAAATGTTGTTCAGCTTTCAAAGGGCACAGTTTAAAAACCCGTGTATTGTATGTACTTTATTATTTTATAGTTATAGTAATCAGGGGACAGACAGATTTGGACAACAGCTCTTCAGAACCACGAACAACATCAGTAAATGACCTGTGTTTGTGTAGCGCCTTCTTAGGGTTCTACAACCCCCCAAGGCGCTTCACAACACACGCTAGTGGGGATGAGCTACAACGTAGCCACAGCTGCCCTGGGGAGCACTGACAGAGGCGAGGCTGCCGAATGCTGGCGGCACCGGTCCCTCCGACCACCACCAGCAGGCAAGGCAGGTTAAGTGTCTTGCCCAAGGACACAACGGCAGCATTCGCTGGAGTCGGGACTGAACTTGCAACCTTCTGATTACTGGATAACCCGCTCTACCTCCTGAGCTACTTGCTGCCCAGTAGGTAAAAGTTTCATTTCCTGATCCTGGTGACATGCACCGGCTCGCCAGCGGGGCTGACATCATGAACCAACGTGAATCTTGCAGCCTTTTATTTACGTTCAGACCCAGAGCCTCAGAGGAACGTTTCACTGCAGCAACAGTTGGAAATTTTCACGTGAACGAGAACAATGCTGCTCCTTGGACCAGAACATCTCAGTCAAAGGTCACATTTTTGGGCGAACCGCCTAATTGGGCTCTCTCTCTCCGAGGCTGCGGAGGAGAGTCACCCACGCCCGGCGGTAAAACAAACCGACGTGCAATCACAGGCACACAATAGAGGAGGATGCTTTTATTGTGATACTTTCAGTTCTGCAGGTAGAAACTGTTTGTTAATTTCTACTTAATGATTCTCTAATAGTCGTCTGAAAGGCTGCAGGCATCCGTTACAGTCAGGGTTAGGATAATATTTGTGTTTGCACAACAGCGCTTTGTTTATGCCAAAGGCGGGAGGTTCTTGCTCTGACTGAGTTTCTCCTTCAGTTATTGTGTGTGTGTGCGTGTGTGTGCGAGTGTGCGTGCGTGTGTGTGTGTGTGTGTGTGTGTGTGTGTGTGTGTGTGTGCGCGCGTGCGTGTGTGTGCGTGTGTGTGTGTGTGTGTGTGTGTGATTACTTACTCCACTGTGTCCTCCCAGCTGCACCACTGACTCTGGTCCAGCTCCTGCATGTCGAACCGGAACTTGGCCAAGCAGATCTCCTCGATGAGGTATTTGTAGTTTGACCCACAACCCTGCGCTGATGCACACTGACTCACTGGTGGGAAAAGGAGGGAAAGATTTTAGCAAGAGAAGGTTTACCCAAACAAATGGGTGTAACTAACTCAGAGACGTGTGTCAAACTCTGCAAATATCCAAAGATCTGCTTAAAACATGATCATTCCGTTTATTTTGTCATTCATGAGCTTTCCTGTTAAGTACTATGTGAAAAAGGTAGAAAATAAATTGCATTTTTAGCCCGGATAAAAGTATAAATAACCAGAGACCACCTTAAATATGTGTAGCCTGAAATATGAAATAAAATTTGTTTTATCTAATGACTGTTGTCTGAAGTTAACTCATGATTTATTTCATCTCACATTTGTTAAACAATATGAAATAAAATTGGCCCTTCCCACCTATAGATCGTCCACCAGGGGGCAGTAGACATGTATAGGACTGTATAAAGCTTGGTTTATGCTTGACACATTTACTTTCCGCTTGGTGATGCGGCTCGCGGATGGAACGCGCTTCACAACTTCCAGCGTTTATGGTTCATGTGGCTCGTCCCTGCGGTGAGCCAATATTCTCCCAAACTGTAGGGGGCAGCATGGAGCTCTACGGCATGCATCCAACACTACACCATAGTAGAAGTAGAAGTTACTGTTTACAACATGGCATTCCAGCATTTTTAACAGCGTTCTCGTCTTTTCCGACAGTGCGAGCTATTTCTCTCCAAGAATTATTAACAACATGTTGATCACGGTGATCTCTGAGAGCTGAATCATACAAATGTCTGTATTTACCAACCTTTGCCATACTAGTTCTTGCCGGTCCGCCATGTTTTTCCGCGTCCGACCGTCCGCGTGGTTAGAAATTTTCTGAGGTGCGCGTTGCGGAAATTCTGGGCCGTGCGGAGGCGCGGTGGAGGGGCGTGGTTGTTAAAATGACGCAACTTTTCCGCGCGGAGCCGTGCGGACCTCGCGGACGCGTCAAGCATAAACCAACCTTAAAGCAGGGTTCTGGTGAAGGTGCTAATCCTGATGCTCCATTTGGAGGCTTTAAGGACCGGGGAGGCTTGATGTGAATTTGTGACACCAGTCTTAGTGGTTAAAGCTTAAAACAGCAACTAAAACTGCCAGAGTTAGCTTCATTGTTCAAGTATGGTTAAGGACCGCCTCCTGCATTTAAAACAGATTGTCCCAACTAAGTAAAATGTTATTTTCTTGTGAGATTTTGAGTGAAATCAAGTTTGTCGGAAAAATGACCCGAAAACAAAGAACGTAAAAGCTGAAGAGTTTAACGGATCACTGCGTAATGAGTGGAAACAAGCTGCTTTTAGCCAGTTCTTGGTCTAGGAGCCACTTCAGAGGACCCCATGTTGCAGACACCTGACCATAACGGATGGTTTTCTGTATTTGATGCAATTCTTTGACCTAAAATGAGTCCGATTCTAAGAATCGGAGCCCAACATCGTACCTTTTTGGGTTTTTACACCAGAACTACCTTCTGCAACATGTTTTCCACCCACTTCACCGAGTCCACCTCTGCTCATTTCTCTCATTACAGGTAAACGAAGCCGAGATTGTGAGAGGAGACCTCGTGAGAGCCTCCGTGTGCACTCGCTCTAACCTACCTGACTGAAATCCCTCAAAAGCTGAGCACGGACCTCAGAGCTGCTGAAAGAAAGTGGCACAAATCCAGCTGATCTCGAGGACTGTATCAATCACTTCTATCCTCCTTCTCATCCAGCATCACTTCTGTCCAACCTGCTTTTGACAGTGATGAGCTCTGCACCCCAAAGATAACCTCAGAACACTGTTCAGTCCTCCTCCACCTGCAGCCACAAACATTTCTGAGGGCCTGTTTGCCCCTTTCTAGACATCCAGTAAACGTGCTTTAAAGAATTTATCTAATAAAGACAATATGCTGGCCACAGCGTTTAAAGTTTTAATGCTTTATGGAGGAGATGTGTGGGACATCACCTTTTTTAACAACTGTGTCCAAAAGACGGATTCGTTTTTAGGGCTGCAGGAAGCTGCAATCACAGGAAGCTCCATCAGGGTTGAGGCTCGACTCTTAATGATGAGTTGATGTTTATTCTGATGTGAAATCCATAAAAGGAAAAAAGCGTTCATGGAAGTAAATTCCAACAGACGGAGAATACAATTCTGTGGTTTTATTGAAAGCGACCCGCATGCACCTCTGTGTTTTATTGCTTTCTGCTGTAGAGGAACAGAGCTGAAGCCGATCTCCGTTTCAGGTTCTGCTCTGGACAAAAGCTGCAGGAAAATATAATAATAGAAGTTAACACTGGAGCTCCAGAAACAAAGTAAAACACACCTTTGTGGTAACATGGAGGTAGGAGCACGCACCATTTATTTTATTTTATTTTATTTTTTTCCAGACTGACCAGAGCCTCTGGGGGATTCGAGTGCAGCCAGACAACCAGAAAGCGTAGGGTAAGGTAGGCATTCGCACAAACTTTTGGGACTTGTCATCTTCTGGAAAATCCTCAACTAGACAAGTCAGTGACCTGGTGCTAATACCCCCTGAGGACCAGAGTCACTCACTGCCTTTAACGGATTTACACCAAATATTCATTGATGAATCTCTGACCCCGTATAGGTTGGATCTGCTGCAGGAACTCCCATCATGCATTGCATTTTCACACCGTTAAAATGATACAACCACAGATGCTAACCTCGACTGGAGACGTTTTACTTCTAATTCCAGTTTAAAACAACCTCTTGTGCTTTTTGCTTGTGTGAACTAAATTTATTTAATCAGAGTTTTGATCCCTTGGGTTTAAATATTTATGTCTCAGACAGTTTAGCTGAACTAACCAAATCTCTACAGGGCAGAGGCAGCATGTTTCTTCTTTTATCTGCTTGTTTCGGTGGAGTTTCTACAATGTGAAATAAAAAATTAGAGATCTGAGTGTTGAAAGAACTTGTTCACATGAATCAAATGCAGCCAACGCTGAAGAGATGAAAACTGGTCCTGGGAAAAGAAAGATTAAGTATGTGTTTGTGATTAAATCAAGATCAAAGGGTGAGGAGGAGATCCTGCAGGGGGTGAAAACTGAAATCTTCAGAAGAATAAAATAACTGGACTTGTGTTTTCACGATGGGACATTTAGACACGTTCAGACCCGACTCACCCTTGCAGGAGAAACGGTTTTGATCACAGCACAGAAATCTCTGCGGGAATGCAAACTCTTGCCTCCCACACGATGGACTGTCTGGCTTTCAGCTTCACCACAAAAAGGGCAGAACACTCCCAGAATGAATGTTTGCCTGAACGAACATTTGCAGATCTTTCCAAAGTAAACATACTGCTACTAATCCTGCTTAAACACAAGTTAATCAGTCAGTTTGAACTTGGATTTTCTTCCTCAGGTCATTTTTCTTCATCTCGTCTCAGACTTTGTTCACAGTGGACACCACCAACCCGTCCACGTTTCTAATAGATTTTCCCCGCTCAGTGACGCACCCACTGATAAGCAGACTCTGATCATTGGCAGCTCCATAGTCAGAAACGTGGCATTAGAGGCTCCAGCAACCATAGTTAAATGTTTACCTGGGGCCAGAGCGGGCGACATTAAATCTTATCTGAAACTGCTGGCTAAGGATAAGCGTAAATACAGTAAGATTGTTATTCACGCTGGCGGTAACGACACCCGGTTACGCCAATCGGAGGTCACTAACATTAATGTTGCTTCGGTGTGTAAGTTTGCCAAAACAAAGTCGGACTCCGTAATTTTCTCTGGCCCCCTGCCTGATCGGACCAGTGACGACATGTTTAGCCGCATGCTGTCCTTCAACCGCTGGCTGTCTAGGTGGTGTCCTGAAAACAACGTGGGCTACATTGATAATTGGAAAACTTTTTGGGGAAAAACTGGTCTGATGCGAACAGATGGCATCCATCTCTCTTTGGATGGAGCAGCTCCTCTTTCTAGAAATATGGCCAATTTTAACTCATTCACTGCCAATAACAACTAAAGTCGTCATTTGCATTTTATTTGTTACTATGTGGGCGTTTGAACGAGCCCCCGCACCGTGAGAACAAACATCTCAGCTCTAAAGCCGATCTTCATCCGCGTACGTCACACGTCACGTGACCAGGAAGCAGATAATCCATGTGTTAGGAGATCGTTTTGGGCCGCTGCTGTAAACAAAATGAGGCGTGAACCAGAAAAGCTTCTGCCGATCACAATTCAACAATGGATTATAAAAGAACGGATAAAGCTCGAAACACGCGGATTCAACTGGCTAAGTTGTTATCTTAAAAACATAAACCTATTTGTACAGTTTGGATTAAAGTAACTAGGACAGGAAGTAATAAAATCTGGAATCCCTCAGAGTACAGTGCTAGGCCCCGAACTAATCCAAATCCAAGTCCAATGTATTTATAAAGCACTAATAAACAACAACATGTACCAAAGTACTGCACAATAAAAACATGTATAAAAGAAAGAACTAATACAGCGGCAACAACATTATAAAAGTCACAATAAAAGCCCACTGCTTCTATCAAGGCCAGAGAAAAAAGGTGAGTTTTCAGGCAAGATTTCAACACAATAAGAGTCAGCCTGTTTTACATCTGTGGGCAGCTTGTTCCACAACCTGGGACCAATCACCGAAAAAGCTCTGTCGCCTCTGCTTTTGCGTTTCATCTGGGGAACCAGTAGCCCACGTCCAGCTGAACGAAGAGATCGCACAGGCACATGCAAAGTCAGCAATTCCGACAGGTAATGTGAGGCAAAGCCATTTTGGCATTTAAAAACAAATAACAGAATTTTAAACTATTTTTGATACCTCACTGGGAGCCAATGATGGGCTGATAGGACTGGAGAGATATGGTCACACTTGCAGGTACGTGCTGCAGCATTCGGGACCATCTGCAGATGTGAAATCAAAAACTGGCTGATGCCCACGTACAGAGTATTACAGTAGTCTAGTCTGGTCATCACAAAGACACGGATAAAAATCAGAAAATTATGTTGCAATAAGAATGTTTTTATCATTGCTTGCGGTCTCAGGTGAAAAAAGCTAG